ATGTTGATGATGGACTAGTTGCAGGAACCGATAAAGAACTAAAAATATTTGAAAAAGAATTAAAGTCAGAGTTCAAGATAACATCTAAACCTGCAACATATTTCCTTGGATTAGAGATTAATCAAGATGAGAAGAAAAATATTAATGTCAGTCAGTCATCCTATACAAGAATGATTCTTGAAAAGTTTGGGATGAGTCAGTGTAAATCCTGTACAACTCCGATTTCAAAATCTGAGGAGTTCGATGAAAACAAAAATGAACATGAGGAAGTGAAATTTCCTTACAGATCAGCAGTTGGTGCATTGATGTACTTGATGACGGGAACAAGACCAGATATTGCATATGCAGTTGGAGTAGCATGCAGAAGTTAGCACAAGTTAAGCAAATTTTCAGATATTTGCAAGGCACAGCTGATGTCGGTATTGTTTACAAGTCTGGTCAAAACAATACACTTATAGTCTACAGTGATGCAGATCATGGAGGAGATAAATCTAGTGGATGATCGACATCAGGTGTAAACTGTATGTTTGGAGGAAGCGTGATCAGTTGGTTTAGCCAACGTCAACCCTCAGTTGCGATTTCAACTACTGAAGCAGAAATTGTTGCCGCAAGTGAAGCAGCTCGTGAAGTGATATGGCTCAAACGTTTGTTGAACGACATTGTAGATCTAAAGAAAAAGCTAGAAATTTTTGTCGACAATGAAGCAGCAATTTGTTTAGCACACAATCCAGAACTTCACAGAAGAACAAAGCACATCCACATTAGACATTTCTTTGTCAGAGAAAAGGTTGCAGAAGAAGAAGTTTCAGTTGAACTAGTTGCGACAGAACTTCAAGTTGCTGATGCTCTGACAAAACCAATGGTAGGACCAAGACTAAAGAATCTGATGTGTGCGATGGGTCTTCAAAACATTTAGGTTAAGGTCATCTAATGTTTTAAATAAAATGAGAAGGTGTTAAGTTTTATGTTTTATATTAAAACATTATGATTTATAATATACATTTATTTTTCTTTGGACCAAATGTTCTTTGCTTTGTATGTAACTTCACTTTTTCCTTTTTTCTGTTGATCCGGTGGATAATAAACAAGTCGAGAACGTTGCTTAGTTTATTTCTCTTCTTTTAATGTCTTTCAATATTGTATCAATTAATTAAGCGATCTACGTAACAAGAAATTTAACAAATAATACTGCAAATAAATTGTATCAGTAAAACTAAAACCAAACTGTATGATATGATATGGTATGAGGTTGTTAATTCATTAACAATAACAACAACAGACAACAACAATTTTAGCAACAACAAACCTCTCAATAACTAAAACAACTTCAATAAACAATAGAACAACTTCAACAATAAAAAACTTAAAAAACAAAATCTCAACGCGAACAATAGCAACTCATCAGCATTAGCATCTAAAACGTTATTGAATGAGGAGCAGAAAACTGAACAAACAAAATTAAATAAAAATTTTTGAAAAAAAAAAATGTTGAAAATATGAAAAGATGAAAAATATATTGTGACGCATAGGTTTCACCGCAGCGTTGCGTTAATATTCATCATCCACACATGCATTGCGCGCTATAATCTTACTTACGTATTCAATTCCCCCCCCCCACTCACACACACACACATTCAGTCACAAACATTCACACAAACACACACATACTTACTTATACTAACTGATATTTTCATCTTAAAGTAAATTCTTCCCACTAACAAAACGCACGAATCGCATTTATACATGTTTGCATCTCCGTAATTTGAAAAACTCGCACAGGGCATTTGCACATACACTCACACATACACACACAAACACACACACACACTTAATTCACTTTTACTTTATTAATTTTCATGAAGGGCAGGAAGAGTAGAGTATATAAACTGGGCGGTCGATCATTAAAAATGTATGGAAAACTACATACAATCACGCACACATAATCAAACACACGCATTCACACATTAATACACACACACACGCGCGCGCATAATACACTCATACACGCATACAAATTTAAGTACACAAATACAGGCGTGTTTGAAGCGTGTCATTTATGCAATAATGATGTAATAATCTCATATACAGTTTGTTTCACAACTTTCTGATGTAATAACAATACTTCCTAAATAATGCAATTAATTCAGGCATGCGATGTGATATGCCTGTATCAAAAAGTTAGCATGTTCGTGTTTGAAAAAAATAGATACCTAATAAAAGTTATATATGCACTGATGATGAAGAGGATAACACGAGATAAACATTAACGACGCAATTAACTAAAACGTCATGAAACCGCGCATGTTCTTACACAACACACACGCATGTGTGTATTTCTCCTATTAACATCATATTTGAGTTTGGAACCTGGATGGACTTCGTTTCACGTTTATAACACTGAAACGTTAATCATTTGTCACTTGCTTATTTCATTCTATGGCTCCATAGAAATTTCCATCTAAAAACACGTGTAGGCATACGCACATATCTTTCCCACACAGCCAACCCGTATAATTCAAATAATCAAGTAATCCAGAACATAATGTACGAGCGGAGGCAAGACAGAATCCAGAAATAACTCGCAAAAATGCATCGCGTTTTTTTTTTGCATAATACATAACTGAGCAAATTTACATTACCAAAAATGTTTTTGTATGATTATTTGTATGTTTTTATGTTTATGTTTGTGTGTACTTTTATGTTTTTTTTGCTTTACGTTGATATGGCTACGTACATTAGCGTATGTTTTTGCTCGTGTTTGTTGATTTATATGGAGTTGTTTATATTGGTCTGGCATATTTTTATTGTATGTTTGCTGGCACATGCACTTTAAGGTATGCCTTCAGGCATGTAGTGGTGGATGATCTGGTAGAGTAAATGCGTTTTAGAAAAAATTGTACTAAAACAAAATTGATGAACTTTTGACCTAGTTAAAACATTCTCAACAACCTAGTTAAAACATTGTCAATAATTTGCAAGTTTTTACACACCACACACACGCACACACACACACTTTAATTAATTGAGAGATATAGACAAATATAGGTATATTTATACATTTTTTTGTGAACAAAATAAAAATGTAAACATATTTATGTACATGTATTTATGTGTCATATGAGTTTATGTGTGTTTATTTACAAATGTAAGTATGTGTGTGAGTATGTGTGTGTGTGTGTGTGTGTGTGTGTGTGTGAGAGAGAGAGAGAGAGAGAGAGAGAGAGAGAGAGAGAGAGTATATACTCATGTGTGATTGCACAATGCACACGGCTGTTTGAAAGGTGTGTTAATTACTCAAGGGGCAAGCCAATGTTGGCTGGCACGGGTGTGCGTTCGTCTGGCTCGTTTGTAGCTTCCTGGTTGCTATATGCTTCTTTTTATTACATGCTTAACTGGTGATTACGCTATCATTATTATCATATTATCACAGTGTTATCATATTAATTTCGTTAGCGCTGTTGTTTTGACATCATCTTGGTCAATACCATTATCCTCATATCATTTTATTCATCTTTTATTACAAAAAAATGAAAATAATTCAACTGAAGTATTCCCATTAAAATTAAAATTGTGATTAAGAGTAACTATTTTTTTCTTAGGGTATCACATGTTAATCACTAATCTCATTATGAATGTTATAATTCCATTCCTAATCCTAATCATCATCGTCATCATCATTAAACATCATCGTCGTCATCATCGTCGTCGTCGTCACCATATTCCTAATGAAACAATAACATTCCCTGGCAGGCACACAGGGAAGGCAGAGTAACACCACGATGATGATTTTACACAGACGTCACAAGAGTTATCTTAATAATAATAACATACAACAAAACAACAAAACAATAATAAAATTTATGAGGATGATAATTACAATAATAATAATTACAATAATAATAATTACAATAATAATAATAACGATAATAATAATAACGATACGATTGCCAAACCATTGGGGATGTTTGTGTTGTTGTAAGTGCAGATGTATGCCATTTTTTTCTGGCACGTTTTGCATATTTTTTGTTTGTTTCTGTTAGCGCGTTTTGTAGTTTTTTGTAGTATTTTGTTTTTTATTAATAATTTTTATTTGTTGATTAGGTGTAGTTGTTTTGTTTCGCTTGTATATTTTTAATTTTGTTTGTATGTTTTTTTTATTTATTTTATTTGAATGTTTCTTCTTAATTATCACGTGTAAAAGTGTCCAGATGTTTGAAATTATGAAACAAAGTGAGGCGGGATGTTGAGTTTAAAAAAAATAACCAAAATTTTGCTTAAAAAATAAATCTCTGAATTTTTAAATGGATTAGGCATGAATTTTTCGCAAAATTAACCCAACTGTAACTGTTGTCCTTCAATCACGATGGCGACGATGATGAAAGATGATGAAACGTGATAAAAACGATGAGATGATGTGATGTGATCGACGAAAATGATGAAGATGGTTGAGATAATGGTGATGAAGGTGATGATAATTATGAAGATGATGAAAAAAAAATAAAATTTTCGTCCAAAATGATGATGGCAATGATGAACATGATAATTTTTTGACAGCATTTTAATCATACATGAAAGAGCAAGCATTATTACTCCAAATGATTCATCAGATATGAGAACGGGGTAACATACACAATGAATGGAAACAAACTACTTGAAAAGTAGATATCATTGATAAACACTGATTGTGTATTGACCAAACCTCAAGTCATTTTTTTAATGAACTCACCAAAATGATATAATTTGAAGTGAAAAAATTTATTCAGTCAAATCGGAATGTTTAAAGTTAATGACAGCATTAAAGATGCTACTGATACTAAATGAATTATTTGAATGTTAAAAATTTACCGTTTAAACTATTCATTTTATTGGGATTACGAATTATACTTTAAATAATCATACTATAATTTTATACATTAAAAAAATGACAATACCAAATAATAATAAGAATAATAATAATAATAATTAATAATTAATAATTAATAATAATAAATACAAAAAAATTATAGCGAAACTGACCCGGTAATGACGACGACAAAATCCATGATATTCCAAGCATTTCTCAGGTAGGCACCCCGGTGCATTACGAATCCAAGGGCTACTATCTTAAAGGTGGCCTCGATGCAAAAGATCATCAAAAAGTAGATTTCCGTCTTTTCCTGATTGAGTAAATATCTTCATTAGGCATGATAACTACTAAGTAAAATTATAAATTAATAGCAGTCTGATGATGTTTTTCTTTTTTTAGTCTTTATTATTGCAGCTCTGACATACGCAAAACTACTTACAACGTTTCAGATATATTATCTATATATCTTTATAAGTTTGAGACGAGAACAAAGAGCTAAGTATAGTGACGCTTGAGTTGACAATGAAAAAATTGTAGCAGCAATGAGACAAGTTGATGGAGATGACGTGAAATAACTATTTTATTAAAACATTTATAAAAGCCAATTATTGTCTGGTCATTCGTGAAAAAGCGGAAATAAAAATAGCCTGGCTGAGATTTGTGCATCTTGTGGCTAATGGTGATTAGGTTTTGGATATCTATGAAATGTTATGTAAAGGGCGATAATAATGTCTTTTATATGGTGATGGCTAAGATGACAAAATTGTTGCTTGTATTTTTAACAAAATGAACGACAATATTTTTATTCATCTATTTTTTTTCTAACTGCTTACATGTTATTCAATACTTGTAAATATTATCAATAATGATGTTGACGAAAACCTAAAAAATGATGGCGATGAATGAACAGCGAATGGTGATGACGATGAAGATGAATAATGATGATGGCGTTCATAATGGCGTTGATGTCAGAATAGTGATTTGAGGAATTAGAGCCATGGGCGACGAAAATGTTGACAAATTGTTAAGAAATAATGACGAAGCATGAGTGACTGACTGTCATGTAATGATGTCTTTGTCGTTGTTGCAATTTCTCGGTTATGTTGTTGTTTTATGTGTCAAAAATTAAAAAGAGCAATAGTTGTAGTTGTTGATAATAAAAGTATTTGATATATTTTTCACCATTGTTTTTTTATTTAAAATTAATACAATCTAGTAGGCCTCAGTTATAAAACAAAATTAAACAAATTTATTTTTAGTTTCAATTAACACTATGTTGTTTGAAAAAAAAATTGAAAATTTAAACAAAAAATTTTTTAAGTTATTAGAAATTTTTACACTACAAATCGACTAAATGCTTCACGCTTCATTGAGCATCATTGAAACACGATATATTTCCATTCGTTATTATTTTTCTAGCATCTAAAACCAAGGGGAACGAGTTTATAAAGAGAATAATTGATCGGAGGCAACGAAAATAAAACAACTTTTATGATACATTTAAAATTTTAAGTGTATGACAATCTATACTATTTATTTGCCTATTTATACCGCGTATTAGATGTATATTTTGGTTGGAAAAATTAAAATATGAAAAAATATGATCTATTGTGGCTGCTGTTTTAGCTACAACATTGTTGGTTTGGTGTCTTGTGGTTGTGGTCTATTGGGCTGCTGTTTTAGCTACAACATTGTTGGTTTGGTGTCTTGTGGTTGTGGTCTATTGGGCTGCTGTTTTAGCTACAACATTGTTGGTTTGGTGTCTTGTGGTTGTGATCTATTGTGGCTGCTGTTTTAGCTACAACATTGTTGGTTTGGTGTCTTGTGGTTGTGATCTATTGTGGCTGCTGTTTTAGCTACAACATTGTTGGTTTGGTGTCTTGTGGTTGTGGTCTATTGGGCTGCTGTTTTAGCTACAACATTGTTGGTTTGGTGTCTTGTGGTTGTGATCTATTGTGGCTGCTGTTTTAGCTACAACATTGTTGGTTTGGCTATGGTGGCGGAGGAGGGCGTAATGGCTTATGCATTTTGGGTTAGTATTTTCAATATGTACCGTTATGTTATTCTATACAAACTTTTCCTATCAATATTACAAGAGAAATAATATTAACATTAGAAACTTCATCGTCAACTACTTACTTATATTACTAAAAGTTTTACTACTAATATTACCGCTTCTTCTACTACTAATAGTGCTACTATTACTACTACTACTACTACTACTACTACTACTACTACTGCTACTGCTGCTGCTGGTGCTGGTGCTGCTGTTGCTACTACTACTACAACTAATAGTAGTATAGTACTAGTACTGCTACTACTACCACTACCATTACTAGTACTACTACTACTGTGCTACGCTGCTGCTGTTGCTTCGAGTACCAACATATTTACGTAATTTTAATTAGAAATTTGTACAATAAAATAAAGTACAATAAAATGGCACACGTACATACATAGTGGGAATTTGCTGAAAAAGGAACATTGAGACATCGGCACATGGTTGTTGGAACTGATGGATCGTGTGCAATCAATAAAATTGCCGGCTAACAGCACTAACTCAAAGGCTGCCAAGTGGGTAGGTAGTACAGTGCTGTTGACTGGTAAGTTGTGTAGAGATAGAAAAAGATAGACAGGTATAGATGAGTAGACACATGAACAGAAAAATAGACATAAAAACAGACAGACAGATAAGCAGAAACAGATATTTTGCTACAGATAGGCAAGAGAATATAGATAAAAAATAAACATACAAAACAGCAGACGGACATAGATAGGTAAGGTACATATTTTGATATGAGGGTAGGTGTTTAAAAATTCAATTAACAACGCAGCACAAAAACATCCACACCTTTTGAATTTTTCATTAAAATTGTTATTTCTTCGTTTAATTCTTTTTTTTTTTTTATAAAGATGGTGATTAGGATGATAATAATAATGACGACGACGAAGATGATGGTGGTGAAAAGGACGACAATGATGATGGTGATAATAAAGATGATGACGACGACGGTGATGAGAAGCATGTAAACATCGATGAAGACATCGCGTGCCAACCCAGCACAACCCAACACAATGGACCAGCATATTATTTATCGTCAGGAAAGAAATATTCAATCAATTAGTTATGCAATGACTGCTACTGCTACTACTGTTACTGCAGTCACTGCAGCTACTGCATCTACTACTGCAACTACATTCACTTCTCTCACTGCAGCTAGACAAACTGGTATTTGTTTATGATTACTACTTTGTAGTATTTGTGGCCACTATTTAAAATGCAAATGTTTGTGCTACTGTAGTTGTTGATGTTTGTTAATGTTGAATATACGATATCACTGCTGGTGATGTTGTAGTGTATTATGTTATGAAGTTTGGGCTGTGTTTTTCTTTAATGAAGTTGCTTGGAAATATTATTCTGTTGTATTAAGTGGTCCAAATTTTCAATATCTCTGACATTAATTGTTTCTGCAGTTTTGATCTTGTTCTATTGGTGGTTATGATAACCAGCAGGTGCTGTTACTTGTTTGAACTCGTTTTTACACAGCGCTTATTTAGCATTTCGTTCATTTTTAGCCAAGTTTTTTCCAATTTTAATTTGTTTGCTGTTTTCTTTCAAGGAAAACTAAAATAATGTCATATACATAATTTAATGAAAGTTTAAAAATTCATATTTGTTCGTTTTTTTTAAATACAAAAATAATTCTTACCGAAAGATGCATTTTTAAAATGGAAAAACATCCAAAAGGTGACAACTGAAATTTTTCAGAAAATAAACTCACAATCACACATACATGCACGCACATACATACACACACACACACTCAGTCACACACAAACAAACACTCATACAATGTAACACATACAACAACGTTTAAAAAACTAAAAAAAGTATGCCAAGAATGAGAATTTGGTTTCTAGACAGTCCTTTTAAAAATTCTGCCTAATGCAAAAAGAATGATGTAAAATTTAGAAAAATGCTGAACGCGACAGATGACGCAAAAACTTTTAACTCGGAAAATTTGGACAATTTTTGAAAGAAAATCGCCACCTAAAGCACTGTACTGAATGTTTCAACACAAAACCGTTTAAAAATATAATCGTACACTGAAATGAATCGTAATTAGAAAAACGATTAGCATTATTTGCACTTGTAACTTCAAATAAGAGTAGCCATATTACACATTTTTTTTATAGAATTAGTTTTCATTAAATACATAATTTATTTATAATTTAGACAAAATTATTCATAATTATTTGCATGAATAGATATAGTACGCAAGCCAAATTTCAGTTTTAAAACAACGTAAAATATTATAAATGTCAAAAAGATTCCAACTAACTAGTTCGAGACTCAGTGGTGTTTTGTCATTTTCAGGCAAGTGTTCCTCCAGAGCTAGGACAACGCAGTTGGCAATGATGGTGAGTAGGACCATATACTCGAATGGCGTGTTGGTGATAAAATAAGATGACGACCATAATGATTGAAATAATGATATCATGATGAAGATGATATCATAATGAATATGATATCATGATAAAGATAGTCATAGTAGGTATCATGATATATGCGATGATGAAGTATATCACGATGAAGATGATGGTATGATGATGAAGATGGTGATAGTAGGTATCATGATAGTAGTATAGTATCATGATCATATTAGCGACATCAGTGATAATAGAAATTATGATAAATTAATAAATATCGTTAATGCTATTATTATGACAGAATAAAATGAAATCATAAAAATTATTATTACAATGAAATTTAGAGACAACAAACAAGATTTTGTTATTAAGAAAATAATCGTGAAACAAAAAAATTTATAAAAATAGGACGGTAAAAAAGGATAAAAAAATAAAAAAAAGGAGGTAAAAAAGTTTGTTGACGTCATAACGACGCAACAATGATTGTCAACATTACAAAAGCAAGAGCCAGGACACGATCAACGACAAATTGATAATGTGGAAAAAATCATTGTTGTAGTTCAAAATGTTTTTATTGTTTTTTTTTTGTTGCTCAATAGTTTTTGGAGGCAATATGTTGTTATTATTTCATTAATTATTAGTTACAACATTAGTGATAGTGATTGTGAGAGTTTAACGTTAGTCCGACCAGAGTTTGTTGATTGGATCATTTGTTTCAACACGGACATTTTCATAGAAATCCAAATCAGATTTTATATCAGGAGTTAAGGAAATTAATTTTGAATTTAACTTCAAATTAATGAGTTATTAAATAATTCTTACATACTCTTTAATCCAAAAATAGAAACACACATCAACAAAACCTTGCATAAACGTGCAAACCTAGCAACAACCAAACAACACACAACAAACACACAAAAACTACAATTTATGGCATACAAATGTGAAGTGTCTCTTTTACAAAAATTTTATTGCAGTAAAAATCTAACAAGAAACAACTCAAACATTTTTTTATCTATTATAAACTAACAAAACAACCTCAATTCAGTATCTATTTAGGATGATAACAACTACTAACTCTATTCCTAACGAATATTAACTCTATTTAGTGACTGGCTCTATTCAACTACTAATATGACCATCCTTCTTAATGCCTATTTAAAATACTAACACGAGACAACACGCCAATACGACAAAATAAATTTCACAGCACATGGATTGGATTGAATGAATGAACGAGGCGGAGATGATGGGAAGAATGAGCGATGTGGAAAGGTTGACGGCAATGAGAGTGCTGCATAATTGACAGGACAAACAATAACGAATCAAATGCTACTGAGCACGTGCAAACTTCAATTGTTTGTTGGTTTGTTTGTTCGCTTGTTCGTTTGTTCGTTCGTTTGTTTGTTTGCTTACAAACAGAAAAAAATATAAAAAATTATTAACAACAATCGGTTAACAACATCGACAATAACAAAAAAAACAAAAAAATCACTAAACATTTAACAATAGTAACAGTAAGAACCAAAATATAAAATAAACACCAAAACAATTTAGAAGTTATTGTGAACAGGTGAAATCAATTGAAATTTTAAGAGCATAAAAAAGGATATCCCCATTCGATGATAGTCTGCGCTGATTTCCTGATAAAATTTCCTTCATTGAATATGAAGAGAGACCTGTTCGTCGCATGTTTACCGTACCCTCCCGTCAAATCCAGTTTATTGAACCTTCGACTCGTCATGTTCCAGTCTCCCATGCCACCAGGGCCAGCACTCAGACCTCCGTGGTGTGCCCTGCCCTCTGTTATGCCCCCCTCGAAGTCCGAACCCGGCTCGTGTCCAGTCTTTTTGAGGATGCTGGTCGGTCCAGTTGCCATCGGATCGTCTGTACCGCCCTCTGCAAGGTTAGTCGCATCTGTGTGGCTCTTCACACTGTAAGGAGTTTTGGTGTTTGTGTGTGAGTCTACGTCTGTGTGTGTGTGTGTGTTAGTTAAAGTAAAAACTTGAGTGATTTTGCTATAAAGTTTTTAGGTTTTCAATAAAATGCTAGGTTAGTTTTCCTTTAAATGATAATTAGAAAATTTTTTGATTTCCGTTTTTTTTGTATTTTTATTAAAAATAGTTTTGTTGAAAAATAACAAACAAAAAATGATGCTTGCCACAAATAATGAAGGGAATGAACTTGGCTGGAAAAGGGTGTCCATAAATAGATGATTAACAACGGAATGCAATAAATTAGATTGTTCTCTCCGACTCATCAATCATTAAAACGTGCAGGGTGCAGTGCTTATCACGCTCAACATCGTTCCCATGTCAAAATATCATCAGGTACGTTCAATGATTATCTCTACGTTTTTCATCAATCGAAAAAAGTTAACGTAAAATGTTAAAAATGCAAAAAATAGGATCCTCAATAACCAATTTGAATTCTTCCTTAAATAAATTTACCACGGTACAAAAAAGAAAAATTAAACAAATATCTTTAAAACTCGGAAAAGCACATAAAAAGTCTAAATATTCATATCAAATTAATTCAATTGTCGTGTTTTTGTTTTTTTTTCTTGAAATATTGAAAAAAATATTGAAAAACTTATTGTCCATGTTTATGTTATATAATAATAAGTAAATAATTTAACCGGATTTAAAAATTTTCTGTATTAGCTACAAATGATAACAATAAAAAATTATAGTTTCAACATTTGTATTAATAAAAAAAACAATAACAACATTAAAATAATAACAACTTCGATAGAAATTAAAAAAATTGACGCTAACAAAATTATTGCACGTATTAAAACTTTAATAGAATAAATTAATTTAACCAAACCTTTCCATTTAAAGTTGCTTATTAACAATTATACCATCACCAAGTGGCAGTCGTTACAACACAAATTAATTATTATTTTTACTAATTTAAAAAATTTAAATAGTATTAATTTTTGTCGATTGCATTTTCGACTTTATGGAAACATTTTTTTCAGTTAAAAATACGATTTAAGCAAATTAGGCATTTTGAAATTTCTCATATCTATAAACGTTTTCGTTATTATAACTAATTATATTATTTTATTATTATTTTTTATTATTATTATTTATATCCATCAGCTGTTTTAATATAGGTTATCCACTGAAAAACCAATTAAAATCGAGTTTAATTTGGCGGAAGTGAGCACGTTGAAAAAAAAAATCATAAAAAATTTAAACAGCAAAACAATGATTAAAAATATTACAAAATTAAAATTATCTTAAATTAATTTTTTCATTCCTAAAATGTTGAATTCTTGAAATGTTCTCGTTAATTTATTTCAATTGTTTCTTTGCATTGTTGTGCACTGTTTGCACAACAAACGCAATTCTTCCTTGTGCATACAACCGCAACATCATACGTACGCATTGCATACGTAACATCGACTCATACATATCAACAGTATGTGTATGCATAGCCTATATACATTTAGCGTGCACAAACGTATATATGGAAATACATAATTTTACATATATACACTCATATGTATGTTAATGTATATACATATATATATATAAATTCATAAACACATACATATATGTATTGTAGCGTATATATAATTGTATATGTTGCATATATGACCCACAAATATCTGTTCATATTAATAAAAAAAGAAGGCATACACAAACGTTTTGAGAACCAAACGTCTCTGATGACATGTAGGCTCACAAGTCAAGTCAAGTTTTTTCATAAAAATATAAAATGTATATGCGAATAAATAAATTAACCGATTAAAAATTAAATAAAAATGTTGTAATGATTTTGTTACAGTGTAATACAACATTACATGCATCATACAAAATTCATTTAGTATAGCACCCAAACATAGAATAAGCAATCGCACTTACACAACTTACACGACAAAAATATTTATACAGTGAGAGAAAGAGAGAGAGAGAAAGAGGAGAGAGACAGAGACTGAGAAAGGGGGGATGATATCAACAAACATCAATGAATGTACCGCTTGTTGTTTTGTGTACAAATGCTAAATGATCTATCCAGCCTGATCTTTCCTACAGGTTCTCTTTGTATGTACGCCCCAAACCTCCCTCCATTCAACCGTGCGTCGGTTTAAGATACAATACAAACATGTATGAAGGCACTCTTGCGCTCTTTGTGAATGTATATTCAAACATGTGGTTTTTTGTAGTTGAGAATATATATATATATATATATATATATATATATATATATATATATATATATATATATATATAACGATGAGATAGGCAAATTTATTCATCTGGAGAGTTGGATTCAAAGTTTGACTAGTGATATTGTTTTTTTAGTTAGGAATAGTTTATTCAAATGTTTCCTGTGTTAGTTTTTAGTTTGCTGATTGGCTAATGATTTGTTAATTTGTTAATTGATTCAATGTTAGTTTTCTCTCGAGAGTCAAGTGACAGCTTGACGAATAACTTTAATTTGTTAGCGCCCATCAATGAAGTGCGACAAAAATGAGTAGTTAAAAATTCTCATTCATCAACATTACAAATTTTCATTAATCCTAGCAACTCAAGCAAATTAGCATCGCGGTAAAAATTCTAAGGAGAAAAATTCGCACCAGCACGTAGATGATTGATGATTTTGAAATAAATTGCACACCTGTACAGGTGTGATGAGGTCAAGTGATGCACTGTGCACACCCATCTCTCCACGCACCACACGTTCACCCATGTATTCACGCACACATTACGCACACACACGCGCGCGCGCACACACAAACAAACACACAACAAACACACACGTTTTTGCGTTTCATTCATACCCACACTTGCACTCATCCACATAACCATTCCTATTAAACAAATTGTTGAAATATGAATGAAGCAATTAGCCAAGATCGTCTTTTAGATATATAGCGTGTTCACGCAGCATTAGAACTCGTACTAGATATATTCAATGTATTCAGCATGCTTGACCCGTTAAATATACTGCTTAAATTTTGTATTGTTTTTCATTTTTCGTTTGAATGACAAGTTGTATAGAATTGTATTTGGTTATGGGTTGTATTTTGTTTGTATTTGTTAAGGTATTTGTAGTGTCAAACTTTTTTAATGCCCAAATTTTTGTAGCGTTCAATTCATATAACTTTTACAGCATGTTAGTTTTTTGTTTAAATTGCGATAAGAATTTTTATATAAATAGCATGGAGCCTGTGATAGCTTCTTTTATTTTGGTCGGGTAATTGTGCCTGAAGTTTAACTAAAAATGTTAACACATAGAAAGTCACTTTGAAAGATCTTTTGTCATAGAAAATATTAATTAACTAATAATTCCTTTCTGGTTCGCAAAACAGCCATTCAAGTTTATAGCAGATTATAATAAAATTCCTAGCAGAGATATCACTGAATAATCTAAAGACGTCAGACCTAATGGTAACGACTGGCAATGTGATCAACGTACGTAATCCGCGAATGTGTACTTATGTGTTTGCGCAAAAATTTACATTGCACTTTCATACGCGAAAATGTTCCTTTGCAATTGCAGATGAATTATTCATAGCATACGAGCTAGCATACTTTTACCGTATATACATATAATAAATATACCGTATTCACACAGACGCATATAATATCAATACTTTTGTACACACACATACACATACATACATATATAATGCATCAACACATGCGTGTAGAAGTTAAACGCTCACGATGAACTACGCAAAACTCTCGTGTGTGCGTTAGATAGTCATTTACAATGCAATATATACAAATATCCATCTACCGATAGAACTATTCGTAGATGAATATAAATGCCACTAAGTCTACCAAGCAACACGCTTGACAGAGACAATAGCAGCATTGTTATGAAGAGGTTGATAAAAGATTATTTGACATCAACTAGTAACAAGAAGGTACACGGAATGTTATTATTATATAGGGACGATAATGAATAACAAAAGGACAATATGCAAGTCTATATAAACATACAAAGTCAGTTTCCAATGAATATTACGGCATCTCCGCGCCAGTTTACCTGCAACCAGGTAGCACAAACTCAGTACAGACCGATTAACGCAAAAAAAGCCCCGAAGTGCTTCAACAAGGCTCAAACCAAAAAATATACTATATAACTACACTGATGATGGCAGTTGATGCCGAAAAGAGCTTTTTTTGTTGTAATAACGTTATTAATAAATAACCCAGCATGATAAGTATATATATATATATATATATATATATATATATGTATATATATATATATATGTATATATATATATGTATATAAATATATATATATATATATATATGTATATTTCAGAGTAGTTATTTCAGTATATATATATATATATTTATATATATATAATTATATATAAAAGTATATATATATATATATATATACTTATATATATATATATATGTTTGTATGTGTGTGTATGTGTATGTGTGTGTTTTAGAGGTTTATATATATATATATGTTTGTGTGTGTGTGTATGTGTATGTGTGTGTTTTAGAGGTTTATATATATATATATAGATATATATATATATATATATATATATATATATATATATACTTATATATATATATGTTTGTGTGTGTATGTATGGGTATGTGTGTGTTTTAGAGGTTCATGTGATTTATTGATAAAATAATATATAATCATTATTATTACACATATGTTTAAAGGCATTAATATATATAATGATAAGTTATATACAAATAATCACACACGCACACAAAAGAACACACACACACACATAAAATATATATATATATTTATATATCTGAAAATATTTCGAGACTATGCATACAGTCATAGAAACGGAGATGCGCTATACGTGCGTCGGTCGGGGGGCATTAGCATGCATGCTTGCACAACCAGTTGTACAGAAAAAAACACATCAATGTTCACACCAAGAGGGGAATGCGTAGTAGTATGTGCGCTTGTGTGCGTGTGTGTGTGTGCGAGTGTTGGTATGTATGTGTCATTTATAAAGCGCTTCTTGCGTAGCATCAGGTGCGCTTGAAATTAACGTACATTGTTCATGTGCGTATACGTATGCGTACACGCGTAAAAAAGAAATGCATCATGATAGGTAGGTTGAGTCTCTGCATATTTCAATCAAATTTAACGTATGGTTGTTGTTTTATAATTTTGTTGAAGCACAATGCAATTTTTTGCGGGCAATAATTTTTAAAATAAAATATCAAGAAATAATTTCAAAACAATTAATTAAATCAGAAAATTGATAATAAAAATGTGAATTAATAAGTAAAACAAGAAGTGTCACATGCTCTGAAAAGACTTTTACATGGATGGATATGTTACAGATTGTCAAGTGTGAAACATGTGTGTTGTGTTGATGCATACGATTCATTAGCACACACGTACACACACAAAAAAATACACACACACACACATACATACACACACACACACAAACAGACAAACAATAAACTGCACAACCATACGCAGAAAAGGAGTCTGTAGTTATTTTGTGCTTGCCTATATAATGAGTTTCAACACATATATATTGCTGGGCAACACAACAAAAACAAGTAAAAAGTAAAAAAAAACGAAATCTCCTCAAATTTGTACTACAAACAAAAATCCAACCTGACGACGAATCACAACATTTGTTACATACAATAATTCTGAATAAACGAAGTTATTTATAAAAGACACATTTGGACACAACAACAATTCAGTCACACTGTTTGACAATGCAATTAAACTTTAAACAAACACGCCAACAGAAAAAAACCATTCATTTGAGATACGTTTCGGTTTCGGTTTAGTAGGTTGGAAACAAAACTGGACGTCCAAGCAGCAGTTTTTTCCTTTCAGGTTGCAATAAAATGGATTCGTAGTAGAGACTGTGTGTAGAGACTGACTGCACACATATAGTATGACATTAGAAAAATTCAACTTGTACATAGGTGCCATTTCCGAAGTCTATCATTATAGGGGCACGTATTTTTTTGCCCTTTGTATGTTTTTGTTTGTGTGGGTGTTTTTGTGTGGATGCGTATGTATTTGCGAGTGTCCGTATGTTTTGGTTTTAATGTGAGTGTTTGTATGCGTGTACGCGTGTTTCTATGAGTGTGTCTGTATGTGCGGATGTGTCTTTGTGTTTGCATGTTTTTGAAGTTTTTTTCCCAATCTGTGTTACCGTGAAATAATTTTTTGCATAAACTCGACCTTATTAGTAAAAGATATCACGCATAAATCTTTTATTCATTACAATGTTATCATACAAAATTTCTATTGTAAAACATAGAAACACGAACGAAATGTTTAAACCGTGTTTTGAAGCTACTCCAAAAATAGAGAATAACTTTTTTTCAGTTAGAAATTTCATTATCGAGATGACGTTTGTCATCATATTTTAACTAAAATTATGTTAAGGTCGTCATTAATAAAATGTTCATGGCTAAAACTCTCTGGTGCTTAATATCCAATTAAAAATAAAATAGGAAAAAATATAATGTGTGTTAATGCTTTTTTTATTTTGCAACAACAAATTTTTCTCACAGTCTGTCGATAGCAGATTTCACCTTATTTTTCTACTGACACACATACATATACAAACAAGCACACAACAGTCTCTCTCTCTCTCTCTCTCTCTCTCTCTCTTTCTCTCTCTATCTATCTATCTATCTATCTTTCTCTCTCTAATACTCTCTCTCTCACACACATACAAACACAAACACACACAGTTAAAATATTTAGAGTAAAAATATAAAGGCACGTTTTTGTGCCTTGCCTTTTTTTGATCAAGGCCCGGCTGTCCACTATCAACAATTATTGTTGGCTCTGTTGGCTCGAGACTTTCTTAAGATTGACCACAATGACCGCAAGCAAACATTATCAACGGTAAAACATTTTAACCATCACCATTCATTGCCGCAATGAAATATGGGGACATCATTAAAAAGATAAGTAGTAAACATCTTCATCGCCATCATCCTCATCGTCATCATCAACTTCTTCTTCGTCATCACCATCACCACCATCACCATCAGCACCATCAATATCGTCATCACCATCACCATCTTTTTCTTTTTCATCATCATCTCATCTTCATCATCATTATCATTGTAACCATCATTAAAGACAGTGACTAACTGGGCAACAATGATTTTAAGCCATAAAGACTTTTAAATTATTTAGTTCGCTCTAAACATAAACACACACACGCACTAACACACACACACATTATCACACACGTACACAAACAAACACTATTGCACATACAAAGAAGCTCATGAAGACGACGTGCACATGAAACTAGTCACGTGTGATCATACGTCACGTTCTAACGGTTCAACTTGGCACGTTTTTTTAACTTTTTATTTCCTGTATGTTTTGTGATGAAAATTTTCTGTCCGAGTTTCAAAATAAATGAACTCATAAATCATTTAAAAATTGTCTACTTTGTGTTATTTGAACGACAATTGAGGCATGATTTTTATTCAAAATATTTCATAGTTAAATTTTGATGGTATAAATTTCAAATATTTTAAATTGGAACGAAAATCAAAAATATAAAGAATTATTAATTATGTTTTGACCAGCGTTTATGATTTCTTTACGTTCATGTAAAAATAGATAGCATGTCAACATAAAAGAATGAATGGACGAACAGACACGTGGAAAAATGGAAAGTGAACAAAAAATGCTTGTAACTAATGAGTCTACATATTGATTCATTTCATACTTTTCACAAAGGCTCCTACTTCTCTCTCTCTCTCTCTCTCTCTCTCTCTCTCTCTCTCTCTCTCTCTTTCTACTTACATTATTTATCATTCAGATTCTCCTTAATGCCTATGCATAGCTGTTCAAATGTTTGTACATATAGGCTATTAATTCACACACGTACGGCCATTCATATACAATACTTGTATGAAACAAGGTATCATAAATGTGCATGATAATCTGGGGTTTCTTTTGCGTTTGAATCTGATCAGTTGAATGCGAACGCTGCAGCACGTTGACCAGACACTTTACCGCTACACTATCCAGTAGTCAACAAAGAGTTCTTTCTATATTCCAAGTTGATGCCATCATTAAAATTTAGATACTTGTTCGTAAATATTTTTTTGCTGGTATTTATAAATTATTTCGCATTAATCTTATCAAAAATTTAATTCAATAAGCAAAAGTTGTTTTATGTTTTTGTCATAAAATTTTAAAAACTACAAAAAAAAAATTTTTAAATATTTTTATATTGCAAAAAACAGAAATAAAAACTAATTTTTGCTCTCAAATTCAATCTGATAAAGCTTTAATACTTTGCAACTCTTTGTTCCAACCGCCTCCAACCGTCAGACCTTCCAGAAAGCCTCTGTTTGCATGTCTGCCAAAATAATTGTTCGATATGAAACTTTACGTCTGCACTGACTCGATTTTCGATTTCTTTTTGGTATGTTTGCGTTCAACCCACGCATATGCAAAACGAAAATTAAAACGCAGACCAGCATCACTTCCGTTCAATGCATCTGCCTTTATTCTGATTCTTAAAAATGGAAATTTTTCTACAAAATAGTCTTCCCAGCAGGACAACTTGCTTGTAAAAATCAGCACACAAATACACAAATTAAAAACATAGCTCACAATTCTTTTTGTTTAATTTCACCTTACTTTGATCGAGTAGCCATAATTTAACAAAGCTGATCAAGAGACACGTGCACTATGTATTGCTAAATCTAGCTAAATGTTTCTAAATCTAGTGTTAAATGTTTGGTAAAAAATTTTAAGCATACGTTATGCCAATGTTAACCATGCAAAAACTACAACAAGCGACTCCTTAAATAAATTAGCAACAACAGTCGACATTAGAATAACCTACAAATCTTACTTGATACAAACTAACCAGCAATATTGATAGGCGCAATAAAATATCAGAAGGCAGGAGTTAACGGTGGAAAAAAAATCGGTGGTGGCAGTTGTGAGGATCCGTTGGTGACAATGACGTTAACCAGGTCGATGAATGCCTCTCACTTATAAAAAAAAGTTGCCCAAAATAAACCATCAAGAGGAAAAATTCCAGATTTAGGAAGATGCATTCATTGAGGCAATGTATTTATTGATGGTGTGCGAGTCTGTGCGTTACCACGCTATCAACTTACGTATGCTCTCTGCAGGCAAACAAGCACACCAGCATCTATTTTAATAAAAATTTATAATTATTTTATTCAAGACTGTGTTATTGTTAGAGTTATTTGATGAACGTATCTAGGCAAACATTTACACACAGACAAGTGACGTCGCATTTAGTCATACAAACAAGTATGTATGTATTTGTATGTAATGCAAGCGTGTGTGTGTGTATGTGTGTGTGCGTGTGTGTGTGTGTGTGTGTGTGTGCGTGTGTGTGCGTGCATACAAACATTTCAAACAAGATTGCTTCAATATCGGTGCACTGTTAAATCGGGCGGAAGTATTTTGGAATAAAAAAAATTAAAAACGTCGAGATAATAAATTGTTTGGGAGTATTGATAATGATGTCGGGAATTAGACGACCGTAACAGCGACGATAATGGTGATGATGATGATGAAGATGAAAATGATGATTATGATTATGAAGTTGATGAAGAAGATGATTGTTATGATGGTGATGGTGAAGATGATGATAACGATGATGATTGTGAGAGAGGTGTTGGTAATGATGATGAAGAAAATGATGATGATAATTAGGAGGATGAGGATGATGATGGTGATGATGTTGGTGATGGAGGTGATGCTGATGATAATGTTAGATGAATGTTTTTTGGCAAATATTTGGATGTTGCTGATGTTGATTAATGTAGAGGTGGTCTGAATAATGATGATGATGATGATGTTCAGGATAATGATGACAACTACGATAATGATGTTGATGATGATGTTGATTTTATGAAAACAACGACAATATTGATAATGACGACGCTGATGAAGGTACGGGCAATAAAGATGACGACAATGATGATGACATTGACGATGAAGATAAGAGGATAATGAAGAGATGATGCGATGACAAAGATGATGATGACGATGATGACGATGATGATGATGACGACGATGATGACGACTACGACGATGATGATGATCGGGTGGCGTTTTGAACAAACAGCTTTTGTAGTAATGTATGCTGCGTTAATGGATTGGATCGTAACAATGAGAACGAAGATGATGACGTCGATGATGATAGTGATGATGATCATTATAAAGGTGATGATAATGATGGCGATGGTGGTCGTGATGGTATGAGAATTTTTATGATGATGCAAGAGTTAAACCTTAAAAAATGAAATTCAATGATTGCAATGATGTCTGAAAAACTGTAACAAATGAAAAACGCTGACGACAGATAACGTTCGAGGTAACATTAGTCAGATGAATAAAATAACAAAATATTAATAGTCAAATTTAATTTCAATAGACTATCATATCCACCAAACAACTCTACACTAGTATCCACCACATACAAACACAATGGAATGTATACAGGTATACTTTAAGTTTGATAAGCATGAATATTTTAAATTAACAAGAGAATAATCTTTGCATAATGCAAAAGATCAGACAGGCAGGCAGACAGACAGACAGACAGTCAAAAAGACAAACAGACTGACTGACTTACAGACAGACAGAAAGAAAGAAAGACAGATAAAGAGAGAGACAGACAGAAACGGAGCATGCATCGATTTAACACGGATCACAAAAGTTGCTTGGTTGATAATGTAGCATTATTTTATGTTTATTCATCTTGTTCGTTCCAGCTCGTTAAACTGCTCATCTTCATGTGATGGGGTTGTTTGGTGTGGTTCAAGTAAATTTTATTTTAGTCAAATAACTTCATAACTGTTCATATATTTAACATCAAATTTTTATCTCAAATGAATTTTAACAAATTTATATAAAAAATACAGTATGTAAGTAATGTAAAGAAATGAAAAGTAAACTAACAGGGGTGTGCCATCAATGGATTTCCAGCTGTTTCGATGCGACTTCAATTTGCTCTGGACCAGGGCACACGACCTCAGATCCGACGTATTAACTGCTCTTCTCCTGCCCACCGTTTGAACCGGTGACCTTTCACCTTCCGTTTTCTTCTCACTCTCATCGTTTGCTTCACTTTCTTCTTCTTCCTCCTCGCCATCCTCCTCCGTCAAAACTCGATCCTCTTCCAAGCAGGAACTTCCGACATTCAGTTCACCACTATCACGTGACCTCACACTTCCGGCCCTGGAAAACGACGGAACATCTGGACTCAAGAAGCGTCCGTATTCGGAGTGCCGTCTGTTTTTTGAACTATCGAAGTCATTGTTTTGCGTTTTGACATCTGGCTTGATTGTTGAATTTGTTGATAAGATTTGTGAGTTGTTGAGTTGCAATCGATCGGCGGCAGCTGGCTTTGAATCTGTCCTGAAGCTGTTGGACCTGGACGTGTACGCTGAACTGTCTGAGACCGCAGAGCTCCTCCTGCTGTGGCTGCCCAGGCTATATGGAAACTTCGAACCAGAGCCGTCCTGGCGAGTGAAAATTAAAATGGCTTCAAGTCGAGAAGATAAAAATATATTTAAACTTCACTCGAAAGAGTTTTTAAAATCCAGTTACGTTTTCCGCTATAAATATTAATTTAGCAACTTTGAAATAATTGAATTAATTATTGTTTAAATTGATTATTTCATATAAATTTTACTCCAACAATGAATAAACAATAATTATCGCAAAGAAGAAAAGAGCATCGTTGAAAATACAAGCATATATTTATTCATGTTTTAACATTCAAATTTTGAGTATTGTAAGTTTAAAAATTGTGTAATTATGTTATTAGTTATGGTAATTTTATTAGTAGTCATATTAGGTGAAGCAAATCGATTAACCAATCGATTGATTGATAACAATTATATTGGTAGATTTTTAGGTGACACAATCGATTGATGACATTTTTTGTTCTGTCTCACACAAGTTTCTTAAACCAACATGTAGGTAGGTACTAACGTGTAGAGCGTTGGGAGAATCTGGCTCAATTTCAATGGATATGTTGGAGGTGAAGCCGTGATGTAAAAGTGGCTTTCTGGAACCATGCAGAGTTGTTAAGATGGCTATCGATCGTCTACGTCCACCAGCCTTTGGTATCATGTTGTTGTTGTTGCTGCTGCTTTTGTTGCAGTTGTTGTCGTTGTTGTCGTTGTTGTTGTTGTTGTTGTTGCAGTTGTTGTTTGTGCTATTGTTTCAGTCGTTCTATATTTTGTCACCACGTTATGCAGTTGCGGTTAATTTTATTTTAATATCGTGATCTTTTTATTAATGATACTTCTGCAGTTGTTTCTATGTTGTTAGCTCGCTGTCGTTGTCGTTAGTGATTAACTTTCATCGGTGTATGCTGTTTAATTTTGTTATTTCTAGTGGCAAAGGAATATGAGGCTGATTCGATGCTTCAGTCGACGCTTGTCAGCCTCTCATTCTTAGACATCCACGCGCTTGGGCATGTATTTTTTCATATAGGTGGTTGTCTTGCGAGATGGTAAGCAGCAGCAGCAGTTACGATCCTTCAAATATCTGTTGATACATAGTGAGTTATGTAGATTAAAAATAATTTAATGAATAGTTTAAACAGTGCAAAATTTTTCATGATGAAATATTTCAAATATATACATTCTTTTATTAGATACTTTACCAGTTGTGTACAAATACATACATATGCATGTCAGTATATTTTATAGGGCATAAAAATGTGTGCAGATTATTTGTGTTTGTGTGTTGATGTGTGTGTAATTTCATAGGTGCGGTGCAAATATTTTGCGACGCATCTGTGTTCGTTCATTCAGTACATCCGCTCAACTCATCTTCGTCTCCTTTGCATTGTTGTTGTAATCAAAATTTTCATAACCAATAAAACAGGTACAAACTCATAAAAAGGCTTGTAGGTTCTTTAAATTATATGCAGACATGTACGTATATACGCATACGTACTGTGTACAATTAATACGTTTCACAAGAAGAAAGGTGAGGTGTGGAGAAGTAACATTCAATTCAATTAATCGATTTTATTCATTTTTTTTTTCAGAAAAAACACTGTTGCGCGATGTATTGTGACTTAATTTTGAAGTAAGTTGGATTGAAAGTAAAAAATAAAATTTTAAATTATTGTATTTTATACCATACAATCTTACACGTGGAATGTTTGCAATGCTGAAAAAATAGTTTTATATAGACAAACCGATAAACAAGACTTTTATCTACATACCTAGGAGTATGATCGGGTGCACAGAAGTTTTTTGATGTCGGCATGTTTATAAGTTCTCCAGTTCTTGTTTACTCCCAAAACAACTTAAACTATGAAGAAACAATTGTACTGCAACTGAGAAGTTAAATTTCATGCCTCAGAAAGTTTCCCTTCATTATGAAACATCTCAAATTTAATGTTGGAAAAATACTGAAATTATTTTTTTTTACCTGTTGCAACTAAATTCAAGAAAATGATGAAGCCTTTTTTTTCTCAAATTTTTCAAAAAAACCTTCTATTTTTCATCCTTTTATTCTTCTACATTTATTCTAGATCAAACAAAAACACTTCCAAAAGCGCATCCATTCTCGAGACATGCTAGCATCAAAACAGGAGCCTGTATAAACACATGAAAGAAAGTAAACAGACATGTAGGGATATACAAACATATACATACATATATACAAAAATATACATACACATATACAAACATGCATACATAAATACAAACACAAACATATACATACATGCATATGTATAGCTAAGACCGCAAGACAATGTAAATGTATGCAGCAGGTAATATGCTTGGGATTAATATCCCTTCTAAATGTCTCTACTACGGCCAATTACCTTATAATCTGAATGTGTTTACGAGCGTGTGTGATGTGCATCTACGTATTCCTTCCATGTATCTTCCATCTTCCATGTATTCTAAAATGTTGTAGGGTGCTGTCTTTAAAAGTTTGTACTGTCTTGCGTACGTTCGAAGTGGTTTCTGAAGAATCATTTTTGTAAAACAATTCAAAAAAAAGAAATTTAAATATTTTTACTCAATCGAATTGGATGTTTTAAAATCAATTCAGAAATCTACTTTCAACAAAATTTTGATCATACTTCAAAATAATAACAAAGATATCGCATTTGTAAATCATATGAAATGAATCTGTATATATATTATAGTCTACATACATAGAACTCACAGGTTTATTTACTGCGGAATCTAGCGCATGACAATCTGACATAAAGGCAAGTTAACGCAGACATCTTTCACGAGATGCAACAAACGCCAGCAGATGTAAATACGAGCAATGAAGAACAAATACTGACTGGAAGTACACCATGTCTTCATGCCACCACAAATATGCACACAAATCCTGAAAAACAATGCGGTAACTGCCTATGGAAAAATATGTATTTGTATTATCTATGTACAATAAAAGTGAGAAATCATGGTTTGAAAGGGTGTTTGTATAAAAAAAATGATTATCATTGCGGAAAATATTGTTTGAATATCAGTCAATTAAATCGAATCAACGTATATAAACTGCAGCGTTTACTTTATAACAGGAATAACAACAATAAAAATGACAACAACAACAACAACAACAACCTAGATGACAGTAATAACAAGGAAGGAAACAACATGTAAATATAAGGCATGTGGATTAACTAAAATGAAAAGTGCTGGCTACCGCAGAGCACTTTTGATCAGTGCAATAATAACATCAGGTTGCCAATTTCAGGCTTCAATGCCTCTTAAAAGGCTGTCTGGTATCACAAAATATTTCTTCTCGATGTCGGTGCTGCTGTTGCTGCTGCGACTGTTGCTGCGATTGTTGCCAATGTCTATAAACATTAGTTTATCCATGTTATTCTTTATTTCTACTGTTTTGTTGTCCACGTTCAAGCTGTTGATGCTGTTGCCATTGTCTTATATACGCCATATTTTTCCCATTATTGTTGTTAGTTTTGTTGGTTTTTATTGTTTGGTTGGTTTTTATTGTTTTGTTGGTTTTTATTGTCGATGTTTACTATTGTTTCTAGTCTTGTAAATGCTGTTGTCGAAGTTGGCAAAAAAAATAATTTACGTATGTTTTTTCGTACTGTTGTTGGCTTCCTTTCACGTCAATCACATGCTCACTTTTTGACATGCTCGCTTCAAAAAATTTACATGCATACAACTTGCATGGCTATGTCTGAGTGTGAGAGCTGATATTGTTCAACAATAATAATGTTTGTGAAATACAGAATAATTAGACAAACACAACACAAAATAATGAAAACAAAATAAAAATGCGTCACATCCGTCTATTTTTATTGTTGTTCGTCAATAAACATGACAAGTGAAATAAAAAATGAAAGGTATGCCAACCCAAAATGGATCTATTTAAAAATCTTTGAAAGAATGCAAGAGATTGGTTCTGCAGGTATGAGTGAGTGCACTTACAATAAGAGATTTTATCACGGGTCATCTGAACATTTACATGGGCTACGTTATTTTTTCGGAATGATCTATTCAATATTAAATCATATAGTGTGTGTGTGTTTGTGTGTGTGCGTGTTTGTGTGTGTGTGTAGTATATGTGTCTATATATGTCTGTGTTTTGTATATAGCTTTATATTCAACAAATAAGTTTCGGTAGTAAAAATTTTAAATATTTTTCGAGGCATCTTCACTGATTAATGAAGAACTTTGAAGTTTAAATTTTTTGGACATGTTTTTCGGAGTGCATTTGTATGCAAGAGAAACATTTTCGTCACTACACTGGTCATGGTCTGGCCATTCAATGAAAAATGACACTACACAACGTTTGCTGATAGATAAAACAGGGCTTATGTTTATTCTAGATCAAGTATTTCACGTAAAAAAATGTTTCAAACGAACGAGAGAGTCCCAGCAACTATGACAGCTTGCAGAACAAGCACTCGAAGATCTGACCCACTTATTTACTGCCTCCCATCTAATTACAGATAACGATTCACGTTACAGTTCCATTCGCAACTAAATGCGTACTTACGCTTCGTCTGTATATAGAAACAAAAACTACACAACAAAAGTGTAGTTTCATTTCGATTGCCCATACATTTTTTTATCAACAGTTTTGTTTTCAATAAAATGATGAAAATATTTATTAAATTTTCTACTAAAATAAAATTGATTTTGAAAAATGAAATCGCTCAACGTTAATAATATCATCAATAGCAGCAGTAGCAATAACTGCCACAACAAAGTTTCAAATCTTTGAAAATAGATTGAGTAGAACGGCGGAAAATACAAAAGAAATACGCAAACAACACGTTGCATGCTCTCAAAGTTTCTGCTTGTTACGTGTCGTCATCTTTAAAAAAAATTAAAAGTGACAGAAATAAACTAACAAATGCTTGAAATAATAAGCTAAAAAAAACAGCACACCCAATGCCAAAAATACATTAAAACATGGCTTATAACATCACCGGTGTTAAAATTAAACCATACGTAATAGAAATAACGACAAAACATCAACATCAACAACAACAACATTAATAACAATAACTTTATTTGTTTTTAATTAATGATGTCATTTAGTCACATTAGATACGTCATTCATCATATCCTGACATGTGGTAAGCTTGTTAATGTGAAAAGAAAGTTCTGGCATTTGTAATGAAATGAAATGTTAAAAATGAATGTCATCAGATCAAAAGAAAATATTTTAAATATTAATTAATAAAGATGAAGATGAGAATGGTAAAGATGATGATGATGATGATGGTAATGATGACGAAGAAAATGATAAAGATGAGGATGGCGAAGATGATGATGACGATGATGAAGGTGATGATAATGATGAAGAAATCAGCAAGACGAGGAGACTGTTTATTAAAGCCGCAACAATCAAACATTAAATCATCATCATCATGATGGTGATGACGATGATTGCGATTGGTCGACGATGATGATGATCACATTGAAAAAAATTATTATAATAATTCTTCTTCTTCTTCATCTTGTTATTATTATTATTATTATTATTATAACGATGGTGATGATGATCACATTGAAAAAATTATTACTACTATTCTTCTTCTTCTTCTTCATCTTGTTATTATTATTATTATAACGATGGTGATGATGGTAAAGATGATGATGATC